GGGGAAGCTGGGAACGGTGGGTAAGCTGGGAACGGTGGGGGAGCTGGGAATGGTGGGGGAGCTGGGAGATTTAGGACCCCATCTGCACAAACGCATCAAGGCTCCTTGGACAGCTCCTTCCAAGCCTGTGACCCCACAGGAACAGCAGATACATGGGAACACCAGCCCCTGCAAACTCCCCTCCAAGCCACTCGCTCGCCCGTCCTGACTTGGAAATGTATCGCTGTTCCTTCAGTGTCACTGGGTGAAAATCCTGAAGCTCCCTCCCTCGGGGCAGTGATAGCTTTACAAAGCAGCAAGTGAAACGTTCTAGGCTCAGGGGTCTCTATATCTCTCTCTCTCGCTGTCTCTCCATGGAGGGAGAGGACATGAAATCAGCACTTACCAAGTGTGCACTGAGAAAGGTGTTGAGTAAAATTGTGTGTGTGTTGTTTGGGGGGGGAGGAATGGGGGAGTGGGGGTTAGAAGAATCATAAATTAAAAAGCAGGTTAATGTCGCCCCACTCCAGGAGAGTGAACAAGTCCTTGTACATGTAACAAACAAGTAATGACACACTTCCCCTTGCTGCACTCCCTCAGACTCAGAGCTAAAAATCCACACCGAATCACACTCAGAGACACCAGCAAACACCTCCTACTCACATGATGTAAATAAGCACACCCAGACCCCAGATATCAGCCGGTGGTCCAATCGGATCCCCTTTCAGCATTTCAGGAGCTTGGAGAGAGACAGAGAAAGAGAGAGAGAGAGAAAGAGAGAGCGAGAAAGATGGACAGAGGGGAAAAAAAACACGAGAGAATTGTCAGTTAGTGAGAGAGCCACCGAGATCGCTTTTTTGGAAATGACACCCCTGGACACCCCTGTAACATCACCGGAGAGGATGAGGGAGAATGTATTAGAGAGAAAAGAAACCGAGAGAATGAGGGAGGAAATGAGGCAAAGGGTTTGAAAGATGGAAGCAATGGGAGAAACAGAATGATGAGGACAATATGAGAAAGACAGAGCAAGGAAGAGACTGTGAGAAAATATAGACAGAGGTAGGGGAAGTGTTACAGCAGAGAGACATAGTATGAGGGATCTGAGAAAGAGAGAAATAGAGAGAGAGAGAGAGAGAGGGGAGAGAGACAGCAAGGAAGGGAGAGACAGAGACGGGGAGAGACAGCGAGGAAGGGAGAGACAGAGAGGAGGACACAGGCATAGGGGGAAGAGAGTCAGAAGGGGAGACAGTCAGAGAGGGGGTGAGAGACAGCAAGAGTGTGATAGAGACACACAGAGGGAGAGAGAGACTGAGAAAGAGAGGGAAAGAGAGAGGTATGGAGGGAGAGATAGAGAATGAGAGAGGGAGCGAGAGAGATAGACAGCGAGAGAGAGAGACAGAGAAATAGACAGTGGGAGATAGACAGAGACAGAAAGGAGGAGAGACAGAGGGAGAAAGAAAGACAGGGATACAGAATGAGAGAGAGGGAGAAACAGAGAGATAGAAACAGAGAGTAGGAGACACAGAGAAAGAAAGAGTGAGAGGGATATGGAATGAGAGAAAAGGAGAGACAGAGAGAGATAGAAACAAAGAGAGAGCAAAAGACAGAGAGACGGGGACAAAGCAAAAAAAATAGAGACAGACAAGGAGACAGGGAAAGGGAGACAGAGAGACACATAGAGACAGAGGTATAGTGACAGAACAGGAACTAGAGGCAGAGAGAGATGTAGAGACAGAGAGAGATGTAGAGACAGAGAGAGATGTAGAGACAGAGAGATGTAGAGACAGAGAGAGTGTAGAGACAGAGAGAGATGTAGAGACGGAGAGAGATATAGAGGCGGAGAGAGATGTAGAGATGGAGAGGAGAAGATTGTATGTGGTCGAGTAACATGCAATTGTTGCACAGCTGATGGTTGAGAAAGAGCGATACTAACATCTGTTCTCAGTACATGGAATGTCCTGTTTTATGTTGCTGCACATACATATATACAAACATATGATGACATTTGTAATTATCTGTGAGATTTAAATGGGTTCAGGATACAGCTTAAAGACTTGTACAGTGCTGTTCACACTGTTTCCTCACCCAGGGTCCTCTCAGGTGCACACGCACCCCATCAGGGAGGGAGACAGCATGTGCTCACGGGAACCAGCACCAAAACCTGGCCTGTGACTCTGGATACACACACACACAGACACACACGTACATACACAGACACACACACACACTCACTCACACACACACACATACACAGACACACACACACACTCACACACACCCACACACTCACTCAGACACACACATACACACTCACAGACACACACACACACATACACTCACACACTGACACACATACACATACACACAGACTCACACACACACACAGACTCACACACAGGCATACACACACACACTCAGACACACACACACACGCTCACACTCAGATACACACACACACACAGACACACACTCACACACACACACACACAGACATACACACACACATACACATGCACACACAGTCACACACACACACATACACATACAAACACACACACACACACACACACACACACACACACACACACACACACACTCTCACACACACATACATACATAATTACTCCCACACAGAGACTCACCGGAACATACAGTCAGTGGATGGGGGGAGAGTGGGTGATGCTGCTCCTCAGTACCCTCGATTCCCCTCTGCCTGTTACTCTTGGCAAGTGGACTGTGTTAGAATTGCATGCTCAGCCTGTCTCTGAGATGGCATCACTGTCCAGTGGGTTATCGAGGGTGGGGCATGGTATGGAGGGTGGCGATGGCCCCCTGACAGGGATTGGGTCTGGACGTTCCTCATTAGCTCAGGCACAGGAGGGTCAGGCCTCGGTGTAAGACTCACACATGTACTCCTGAGTGCCCACTCGGTGACCCAGCGGTTTCGGCACAGTAGCATTGAAGAAGTGGGCACTGCCAAAGTCCACCAGCTTGACGACGTTGAGGTAGGTGACGATGACATTGTCCGGTTTAATGTCCAGGTGAACAATGTGTCGGCTGTGCAGGTACTCGAGGCCCTGGAGAATCTGCAGGATGTAGCTGACAACATCATCCTCAGAGTATCGGAACCTGGGGCAGGGTGGTGGACAGGACAAGACAGAGAGGAATGAGTGAGAGATAGTAGGAACTGCAGATGCTGGAAAATCTGAGATAACAAGGTGTAGAGCTGGATGAACACAGCAGGCCAAGCAGCATCATAGGAGCAGGAAGGCTGAAGTTTCGGGCCAAGACCCTTTTTCAGAAATGGGGGCTGGATGAACACATTTCTGATGAAGGGTCTAGGCCCGAAACTTCAGCCTTCCTGCTCCTATGATGCTGCTTGGCCTGCTGTGTTCATCCAGCTCTACACCTTGTTATCTCAGAGAGGAATGAGTCTGAGCTCAGCAAACAGTGCTCCCATCTCCGAGCGAGAAACTCATGCACAAGGGAGACCTGGGGCTGGCCTTGATACAGACTCTGGCTGTTGTTGTCC